CAACTTTTTACCCACTAGACCACCAGAGCTGCTTCTTAAAGGTTTATAGCCTCAAATACTCATCCCAGAATTGACTCTACCATTTTTGTTTTTGTTTCTCTTTAATGGGTTTTGTTTCTTTGTTTATAGAGCCTGAAAGTAGATTAGGGATTCTCTCTAGGCCTGGGGGGGCGGGAAGGATGAACTTTTTAATCTCTAAAGAATGTAGTATTTCTTTCTGTAATGATGAAAATGTACCAATATTGACTGTGAGAATGATTATACATTACCTAAGAATATGCTGCAAACAATTGAATTGTGGACTTTAAAATGAGTGAATTGTATATTTTGCAAAAAACCTAAAATGAGTGAATTGTATATTTTGCAAAAAACCTTTTAAAGAGTTTTTTTTTTAAAAGACTGCCATTCTGCTTTCAAACAGTTGGAAAAATCTAGTGTGGCATTACCAAATGATAAATAAATAATCCAGGGCTTCAGAAAAAGAACATAAAATAAGCTAAACTGTTTTCCTTAGTGTAGGCCAAGACAATTTTAATTTGAACACATTAAAGTTACATTAAATAATACAGTGAGGGCACTTTCTATATTAGTTACTTTAAAAGGTATTTTGAAGTTTTTCAAATATTTAAAAATGTAGAATAAGTATTGTATACCTGTTATAAATATTTATTGAACATTATGTATCTTTTCAAATCTCAGTTTGCTAATGCCTAGGATGTCAGTCTGTATACATTCCACTCCATGCTCCAATTATTAATGCGTTCCACTTCCATTTATTAGTGGATGCTTAGAGCTGTTTTTTCTCATTATTTGAGTGCTTTCCAACCTGAGGGGCTCATCTTCCAGAACTATATCCAACAGTGTTTCTCTGTTACTCATAGGGCATTTGAAGACTTGTTATTTCATAAGTGTATGGCCAATCTTGCTTATTGGTCTGGAAGGTCTGCTGAACTCTGTCCACCATGAGTGACTCTGCTGGCATTTAAAACACCAGTTTCTACCATCACAGCAACACACCAGTCAACCCAGTCAGACAAGTATACTATCTGTACCCATAAGAGCAAACATTTCCCACTGTTGTAATCTAACAGTGTGCAGAAATTATCATATAATCAGTGCTGAAGATTTTATTTAAAAAATGTGGAAAAGAACACATATAGGGAATATCAGAAACTCAAGTTGGATTCAGAAGAGATCTTGGAAGGAGGGAATGACTGCTAATTTCAGATGGGTCTTGACTGAAAGCAGAGAGTACCAAGAAGATGTACTTACATTTTATTGAGTGTGCAAGGACATTTGACTTTGTGAATCATAAGAAATTATCGCTACTGACATTAAGAAAAATGGGAACACTAGAACACTTAATTGAGCTTAATTAAACCTACACCTAATCTGGGTAGCTGCTAGCTGAACAGAGCAGAGGAACACTGCATAGTTTAAATCAGAAAAGGTGTGTATAACAGTTGTAGGTTTTCTCCATACTTATTCACTTGTATGCTCATTAAATCACTCGAGAAGCTAGATTGTTATCAAGAAGAATATGGCATCAGGATGTGTTATGCAGGTGACACAGTCTTGTTTGCCGAAAGTGAAAACTGGAATTACTTGCTGCAGAAGAACAAAGATTCCAGCCTTTAGTACGGATTATATCTCAACACCAAGAAAACAGAAATCCTCTTCACTGGACAAAAAGGCAGCACCTTGAAAAAAAGATTGAAGTTGTCGAGGATTTCATTTCACTTGAATCCACAATCAACTCTCATAGTAGCAATAGTCAAGAAATCAAAAGACATGTTACATTGGAAAATATCCTGTCATATACCTCTTTACTAGTGCTGAATAGCGAAGATATCAACTTAAAGACTGAAGTGTGCCTAATGGCGAGCTAGGGTGTATTCTGATGCTTAGTATGCATCTGAGAATTGGCAGGGAATTAGGGTGACAGAAGAAGAATAGCTGCCTTTGAACTGTGGTGTCGGAGAAGAGGACAAAGTATCATAAACTGCCAAAAGAGCAAACAGATTTGTCTTGGGAGAAGTGCAACCAGGTTGCATTTTAAAAGCAAGGATAGAGAAACTTAAACACATGCACTTTGGATATGATGTCACGAGGGGCCAGTTCTTAGCTGGGAAAGGTACATGGTCCGCACAAAAGGGAAGACCATGAACAAGATGGATTGCACAGTTGACTGTTACAGTAGGCTTGGAGTGTGTCAGATTCTTGTGAGGACAGCACAGGATAGGACAGGGCTCCCGTCTGGTGTTCATATGATTGCTCTGAGTTGTTGTCAGTCTGAGAGCTCCTAACAGTAACGTTATATATATTTTATTTATTCAATCTGTGTGCTCAACAAATAATTCAAAAAGCTGGACTATGTAAGCTTCTCAAATGGAACTCATTCACTCACTTGTTGTAATTGAGTTGAAACTGACTCATAGCTGCCTGCCCCTCCAGTGTTTCCAAAGCTGTAAGTTACATGAGAGGATATTGCCCATTTTTCTCCCAGCAAGCCACTAAATGGTTTCAGACTGCCCAAGAGGCCATGGCATTTGGCTTAGCAGTACAACACCTAATGGAATAGGCCACAAGGGCTTCCTCACATAGAGTGGATATCTGCGTGGGCGTAGGTATTCAAACTGTCCACCCCATTGTCTGAAGATTATGACTTCTCACGGAGGGTGACCGGCATGTTTCAGAGTACAGCAACTGCTCTGTAAGGTTTTCTTTATAAAATTTCATTGTGTTATGAGTGAAAGTTTACAAAGCAAATTGAAATTCAGTACTTCATCCACATTATATTTCATTGACATTAATTCTAATCCCCATTTTCTAACAACACGCTTTCCTCTCTTTCCCAGTGTTTTCTATTTCCATTCCTCCTTTCTTAGCCTATCCTCTCCTATCTTCTGAGTTCTATCCCTGCTACCCTTTGGATCTTGTAGGGTTGATTGTTGGAAGGAGTATGCCTCTCCTTGGTATTACTGATTATCTTACAGGTCTGTCAGTAGTTTGGCTGAAAATGGAGTCATGGGTTGATTCATTTACAGCCTTGAAGGAAGATAAGGGTCATGGTTATGGGACTCACGAGTCTCAAACCGGACCAGTAAGTCTGGTATTTTTACTGTTTTGAATTTTGTTCCACATTTTTCTCTTATCAGGGGCCTTCTGTTGTGGTCTTCTTCAGAACAGTCAGAAATAGTTGAGTACCATCTAGTTATTCTGGTTTTGGGGTTGTCAGGACTGAAAGTTCAAATGGTTCTTGAGTTTTTTTTTACTAATAGTCTTTGATTTTCTTCACTTGTCTTTGCTTTGAAGAGGGAAAGACCAGTAACTGCATTTTAGGTAATAGTGTTCCATAGAGTTTTCAATGACTGTAATTTTATGCAGACTTCTTTCATGAGTAGATTTGAACTGTTAACCTTTGGCATAGTGTAACTATATGCATCTCCTGTGGACTTGTATATAGGTATTACTGTGTACCATCAAGTTGAAACTGACTCTTGGCTGACACTCATCCAGTGGGTTTTCAGAGGCAGTAAGTCAGATGGGGAGAGACTGACTGTGTTTCTCCTGTGGAGAATCCTGGTGGATTCTAACTGTGTGCCCTTGGGTTGGCACCCCCAACTCCTTACCGCTAAGCTATCAGAGCTCCTTATATTGGTATAAACACATATATTAAGCACTCCTCTACCACTGATCTGTCAGTTTTCTTCTATTCTTTGGTAGCTTGCATGTTACTGTAATGCCAGAAGTTCTATCATTTGTATTTCAAATCCCAGCAGGATCATTGTACAAATAGTGGAGGTGGTGTGGGAATGGCTGCATTTGACCTCTACTAACTACACCAGGGGACATTGTCCCCATCAGTGACACTCAAAACACAACCAATTCCCAGGACCTCAAACATGTGCCCCACACTCCCGTACCTACCACCAATCCAACCGCTCCTACGAAGATACTTCTAAGTCTGAAATATGTTGCAGTAGCTACATAGACCTCATGATTGTGGGGTTTATAGGGAAATTAAAAGGTTACAACTCAGATTGGTACTTGTTCAAGTCAGGAGACAGTTCCTCATCAGCACAACTTCTCAAGCGTGCTTACAGGGCCTTTGACCTTCAGCCTCATGGTGTAGGTCAGTGTTAGAGAGCTCTCTCTTAGTCTTACCAGTTACGGCACCTCCTCCATAATCCTTCAGCAGAGTTGAACAAAAGCTCCTAGTTATCCATGGGAAAGCAGTCCCAATCAACTCTGTCTTGTCTTGGTCACTAGTTCTCCACAGTGGCTGCTGGTGCTCTCACGTAGCTCCAGGTTTGCTGGCACAGCCTGGCCATACAGGACATGCACTGCATTCTCTGCTGATGAACCTGCTCAGTTTAAACCTGGTGGGATGGCTTACCTGGCCAGTCACCTTGTGCACAGACTAGTGCATTCTATTTGCATGTTCCTGCAATATAGTGCTTAAACCCTTAGACATTGGAGTCACTCGACCTAAGCTGAGTCCTCCTCAGATTTCTCATCTGTCAGTGGGAATGATAACAATACCTACTCCATCGTTATTCTCTTATTAGAGTTAATGAATGTATTCTATTAATTTGTCAGTTTTTCTTACTGCATAGCTTGTGTGTTGTTGTGATGCTGAAAATTATGCCACTAGTAGTTTAAATACCATTAAATTCACTGCATGGTGGTCAGGTTTCATTGGACTTTCCAGAGTAAAACAGATTAGGAAAGGGTTACACAATTATTTAAGAAGTGGCCAGTGAAACAGAAAAGGGCTTGCTGATAGAATTGTTTCAGCTGATTTGGGAACCTCCCTATCTTTCCCACTTCTCATCCCTTCATGTGTGATGTTTGGATCTCTTAAAAGCAAATTTAGGTAAAGAGTGGATGTTATCCTCATGTTTTTGAGGCCTAAAGACCATTGTTTATTAATCATTGTTTGTCATGTTTGTTAAATTGTTAATAATACATAAGAATTTTCTTATCTTTTTATCAAGCTAAACTGGCAAGACGAAGTCAAGAAAGAGAGAATCTTGGCATGCTGGTCTGGTCACCTAATCAGAATCTTTCAGAGGCAAAATGTAAGTCTCAGAGCACCTTTATTTTCTATGGTTTTTATTTGATGTAAGGTTTTAAAGCCACTTTTGTGACTGAAAATCTTAGCATATGTGGCATTTCTCATAGATTGTGCTTTTAAAATGATTTGAAAACTTTGAATGTATACATATTTTTCTACTGTGGACTGTCATAGTGACGTAAATGTTTTTATTTTCATAATTTCACTTTTCTGGAAATTTATAGTGTTTTATTTTACATAAAATTTTTTATTTTATACTGGTTTATTTGCAAAGTTCATACACATTGTTTTTCACCCCAGATTTCCCCCATTTCTTTTACCCACCCCTCTACCTATCAAATTGTGATGGTTAACCATCCACCCATACCAACTCACCCCCACCCATTCTTACCCCTCTGGGCTCCGCGTGGATCCTCATACACATTCTACAATAATGGTCTTATACAGTATTTATCCTTATGGGACTGCATTAGTTCACGTAACATAAATGCTCTCCAGTCCCTCCCAAGTTAGGTAGTAATTTACAAAATCATTGCTCCTGCATGCTTCCTGTAAATGTGCCATAATTTCTCAATCCGTTCAACTGTGGTTGGACATTTGGGACATTTCCATGTTCTCTCGGTGATGGTGAATATGATGCTGTGAACATTGTTGTACAAGCCTCCATTTGTGCCTCACTTCTCATTTTCTCGAGGTGTATTCCAAGCAGTGGAATAGCTGGGTCATGAAATTTCTGTGTTCAGCTTTCTAAGGAAACACCAAACTGGCTTCCAGAGTGGTTGTACCATTTTACAGTCCCACTAACAGTGTATAAGAGTTCCTATCTCTCCACATCCTCTCCAACATTTACTACTGTTGTTAAATTTTGCCCCTGCTACTGGGATGAGATAGTATCTCATTGTGGTTTTGATTTGCATCTCTCTTATTGTCAGTAATTTTGCGCATTTCTTCATGTGTCTGTTGGCCATCTGGATGCCTTCCTCTGTGAAAATTCTTCCCATGATTTTGCCCATTTTATAATTGTGTTATCAGTCTTTTTCTTGTAGAGGCTATGAAGGATTCTGTAAACTTGATATGTTTGATACCCTTGTCTGAAATGGTATTGCCAGGTGTTTTTCCTCCAGTCAGTAGATTTTCTTTTTATTCTGTTGAGAAATGTTTTTGATGTGCACAAGGATTTAAACTTTAGAAGGCCCCATTGATCAATGTTATTCTCTCCAGATTATGCCTTCCTGGCTATATTTGACAGTCTCTTTATACCATAGATTAGACCATCTAAGCTTGATCCCAGTTTGTCTCTCATGACCTTTATGGTTTTGGGCTTTACTCCCAGATCTCTGATCCACCTTGAGTTGATTTTTGTGTATGGTAGGAGATGTGGATCCCGTTTCAGCTTTCTGCAGGTAGCAGTCCAGTTTTGCCAGAGCCATTTGTTGAAGAGGTTGTCGTTTTCCCATTTGATAGGTTTTACTTCCTTGTAGAATATCAGTTTACCATAGATAGCTGGGTCCATTTGTGGGTTCTCAATTCTGTTCCATTGGTCTGTGTGCCTATTGTTACCAGTACCATGCTGTTTTGGTTACTACTGCTGTGTAGTGGGTTTTGTGGTCAAGGAGTGCTATGCCTCCCACCTTATTTTTGTTTTTCAGAAGTGCTTTGCTTATTCAGGGTCTCTTTCTTCTCCAGATATACTTGAAAATTTCCTTGAAAAAATTAATTTAGTATGAGAAAAATGGGATAAATTATGTATACTGCATTGAAATAGATGAGGGAGAGAACTGTTTAAAAGGGATATATGATTAGGTATTATTGTCATGACAGGAGTCCAGAACGAAGGCTGTATAGTGGAGTAGACTTTGGGGAGGGGGGGGATTGTGTAACAATGAAAGAATTTTTCTTCTACTTTTTAAAGAGAAAAGCGAACTGGGGAAGAGGTTGGGCAGGGAGATAAGTGCAACAATGAATGAATGGAAATCCAAAGTTTATGTAAATGTTCATTAAAATTAAGAAAAAATTAATTAGTATCTGGATTGAGATTGCCTTGAACATATAGATGGCTTTTGGTAGGATTGTCATTTTCACAACATTGAGTCTTCCTATCCATTAACAGGTACATTTTTCCGTTTATTTAGGTCTTTGATTGTAGCTCACAGGAATGTTCTCTTATTTTCTTTTTATAGATCTTTTATGTGTCAGTTAGGTTCATTTGCAAATATCTCAATTTGTGTTTCACTATTGTAAATGGTATTGCTTTCTTGATTTCCTTTTCTGAGGGTGGGTTGTTTTCTGTTGGGGTTTTGTTTTTTTTTTTTTTTGGCTTTTTTTTCTTTCTTTTTGTTACTGTAGAGGGAGCCCACTAATTTTTGGATATTGATCTTATATCCTGCCCCTCTACTAAACTGATCTACTAGCTCTAACCATTTTTTTGTTGAGTCCTTGGGGTTTTCTGTGTACACTATCATATCATCTGCATGTAGTGATAGTTTACCCATCTCTTTGCCCATCTTGATGCCTTTTATTTCCTTCTCTTGTCTTATTGTCTTGGGAAGCACTTCCAGTACAATATTGAATAGAAATGGTGACAGTGGACATCTTTGTCTGGTCCCTGTTTGCAAGGAAAGTGTTTTTAGTCTTTCTCTTTTGAGAATGATATTGGCTCTTGGTTTTGCATATATACTTTCCACTATGTTGAGGAAACTCCGTTCTATTTCAATTTTGCTGAATGTCTTTATCAGTAAGGGGTATTGGATTTTGTCAAATGCCTTTTCTACATCAGTTGCTAAGATTATATGGTTCTTGTTACTTGCTTTGTTAATATGGTGAATTACGTTGATTGTTTTTCTTATGTTGAACCATCCTATACCTGTTATGAATCTAGTTGGTCATGATGAATTATATTTTTTATGTGCTTTTGGATTTTGTTTGCTAGGATTTTGTTAAGGATTTTTGCATGTATAGTCATGAGAGGTATTGTTCTTTAGTTTTCTTCCTTCGTGATATCTTTGCCTTGTTTTGCTATTAGGGTTATGCTTGCTTCATAGAATGACCCTGGGAGTGTTCCTTTTTATTTTTTTTTTTTTCTTTTCAATTTTTTGAAATACTTTAGGTAGATTGGTGATAGATCCTCTCTGAACATTTAGTAGAATTCATCTGTGAAGCTGGTCCAGGGCTTTTCTTATAGAGAAGTCTTTTTATGACCTGTTCAATTTTTTCTTTTGTGATGAGACTGTTGAGGTGTTCTTTATCTGTCCTTGTCAGTTTGGGTGGGGCATGCGTTTCAAGGAATTTGTCCATTTCCTCTAGGTTTTCAAATTTATCAAAGTATAACTTTTAATAATATTTCAGTATTACTGATTTACTTTCATATGGTTCTGTTGTGATGCCTGTCACCTCTGTTATTTACTAATCGAGTTATCTGTGTCTTTTCTTTTTCTTTCTTTTCTTTGTTAAATTTGTCAATGACCCTTTTGAAAAACCAGCTCCAGGTCTTATTGATGGTTTCAGTTGTTTTTCTGTTCTCTCATTGATTTCAGCTCTTGTTTTTATAATCTTTCTTCTAGAGGATGTAGGATTAGATTTTTATTTTCTAGTTGATGAAGGTGTTGAGGTCATTGATTTTTTTTTTTTTAAATGTGTGTACCTATTGCTATGAACTGCCCTGAGTACTGCCGTAGCTATATCCCAGAGGTTTTGATATCTTTTCATTTTTGTTTGTTTCAAGGAACTTTTTTTATTTCATTCTTTCTTTTATAACCCAATCATTTCTGTTGTTGTTGTTGTTGTTATGTGCTGTTGAGTCGTTTGCGAATCATAGCGACCCTGTGTACAACAGCCCTAAATCCTGCTCTATCCTGTGCCAGTTGCACTATCTCTGACACACCCATCCCGATTACCCCAGTCAGTGAATCAGTCCACCTCAAAGAGGGTCTTCCCCTCCTGCGCTGTCCCTCTACCCTACCAAGCATGATGTCCCTCTCCAAGGACCTGTCTCTCCTTACAACATGTCCAAAGTATGTCAGACGAAGCCCCAGAATCCTTGCCTCTAAGGAGTAGCCTGGTTTAACCCTCTCTAGGATGAATCTGTTTGTTTTCTTGACAGTCCATGGAACATTCAATACTCTTCTCCAGCACCACAGCTCAAAGGTGTCAATTCTCCTTCTATCCTCCCTAGTCCAACTCTCTGATGCATAACAAGTGATTGCAGAGACCGTGGCCTCTATCAGATGCACCTTAGTCTTCAGAGAGACACCGTTGCTCTTGAGTACTTTAGAGAGGTCATTAACAGCAGACTTTCCCATCGCAATACGTTTTTTTATTTCCTGACTGCTGGTGCCAAGAGTGTTGACCGTGGAGCCAAGCAAACTCAAGCTGTGAACAATCTCAATCTCTTCACCATCCATCCTGATGCTACCTATTGGACCAGTGGTGAGAATCTTTGTCTTCTTGACATTGAGCCTCAGTCCATACTGAAGGCTGCAGTCCTTGACCCTCTGCAGTAAGTGCATGAGGTCCTCCTCAGTTTCAGCAAGCAGGGTTGTGTCATCTGCATAACTCAGATTGTTGATAGATCTTCCACCAATCCTGACGCCACACTTCTCCTCATAGAGCCCAGCCTCTTGGATAATCTGCTCTGCATACAGGTTGAAAAGATATGGAGATAGGACACATCCCTGGCGTACACCCTTCTCAATTTTGAACCATGCAGTGTTGCCCTGCTCTGTTCTGACGACTGCCTCCTGGTCCAAGTATTTGGTCAATCGTTTCTAGCAGGGAGTTATTCAATTTCCACATTGGTGGTTTTGTAAGCTTTACCCTCCTGTGGTTAATTTCTAGTTTTATGGCATTGTGGTCTGAGAAGATACTTTGTTTTACTTCAGTGTTTTTTAATTTGTTGAGGCCCGCTTTGTGCCTTATATGTGATTGATTCTGGAGAATACACCATGTGCACTTCAGAAGAAAGTGAATTGAGTTTTAGTTGGGTGCAGTACCCGAAATACATCCACA